ATTATTTGTATTGTTTTCTATAAATTAATTCTGATCTTTAATTATGGATATTATTTCTCTTTGATAAAAAAAAACATATGTCCCCATTTGACAACAGGACATTTAACAGTTAACATATAGCGCAGCGATTATATATATTTCGATTATATATATATATATATAGGTAGTAAGAGGTTCTTTCCCTGCACATTAAATTTCAATTCATAATTTGATTACGAATTTATTCTAAATATTTAAAGAATAAAAAGAAAATAATAATAAGAATTCCCTATCCGATAATGTTCCCGAAACCAATGTAAAATGATACTCGTGATATTAGCGCCATGTTAAAAGCGAATATCAGTTAATGCTTTGAGCACCCTAAGCATCACTCTTAGGCACATAGCCAAGTACATGCGAACGAGATTTCGAAGTCACAGGCGGAGATTTCAACGGTTGACGCCTGCACGAGCGATGTGCTTTTGCATTCTCAAATGAACCGGCGGTTAGAATATAATATTGCTGGCTTGTAGAAAAATGCCTTAGAAAATATGCGAAGAAAGTGCATAGTTTACAAGTAATTCTTAAAGGGCTTACAATACTGATAAATATTGAAAAATTACCTTATTATCATACTTTGTAATTGAGTAAAACCCTATTGATCTTATTATTCATAATATATATATATATATATATATATATATATATATATATATATATATATATATATAATATTAGGTGAGAAAGTAATTTTCAATTATTTATTAATTTTCCGATTAGACTTAAATTTCAATCAATATTCAATTCAATTATTATTAATAGCATAATAAATATTACATAGAATTTTCATAATGAATTAGCCAATTTAGAATGGGCTGCATTTATCGTATTTAAAAATTGAACCGCTTAAAATGAGTGTGTGATACTTGAGTAAATAGTAAATTTGAATATCAATTCAGAAATATTGAAATAATTCGCTAAATTCATAAGAATATGGTAATGTATGAATATATAAATACACTCTCGCGTGCACGCGGGCGCATAAACACACATACACATGAAAAGGAGAGGAGAAGAGAAGAGAAACATACTGGATACACCGCAGATCAGCTAATTTATCCTTACAAATTGCGGGTTACTCGAATCGTTTTCTGGTCGTTTTCGTGCTTTCTATCTGTCTCTTTCTCTTATCCAGTCACTTACATGCGAGTTCTGCGAGTTATACACAAGCCTACGCGCAACTCTCATTTTAGCCGCCTACGCTTGTACGTCTGTTCGTTTACGTACATGTAGGCGTGCAATGATTCGTGAAAACGAAAAGATGTTACAGATACACACATGTACAAACTCTTGCTGAAAGAGAGAGAGAGAGAGAGAGAGAGAGAGAGAGAGAGTGAGAAGTGGGGCGATAAAGAGAAAAGAGAAGGGGAGAACGGATATTCATCGCAGAACACCCTCGACAGTTCACTTCCTCTGTCTTGCAATTTTTTTCCTTTTACTTTCTTACTTTTTCTTTTTCTTCTTTCTTCCCTCGTTGTTTTATTTGCATATATATATATATATATATATATATATATATATATATATATATATTTATCTCTACTTACACTACAATAAAAAACA